CAAATTTATCTCCCACAAAAATTCCTCATTATAGCACCGATGCAAACAACTTTAAGTTTAGGAAAATGATGACCAGTGCCCTAACTCTAAGGCACTGGTTAAGGAATCAAGAATGTTTTACTGAAAAAGTTTAACAGCAAACTCTCCCATAACTTCAACTTAGTTTTCAATAAAAACTTTACTTAGTAATTCCTTAATCAATACTAAGGTCCTGGTCAAGAACTCTTCGTCCATCCATTGCTTTGGATTCCATTATTGTTCCTGATTGTCCATTCAATTTAGCTTCAATCAGCCAACTAACCCATTATCTCAAAAGTTCAATAACCTTTTTCTATAACTCTTTCCACATACAGGACCAAAGTACAGCAAAGATGATTGATGCAGGCTCTGAATCATGCAGACTCTATAATCTCTAGTCTCCTTCTTCTGTTGTTAGTACTGTCACTGAATCCAAACTCCTCAATCATTACCCAAGCCTAAATAAGTATAAAATAATGGTTCTCAATCTCTCCCATTCATAATCTTTAGAATGTGAATCATGACAGCCTAATATATAACAAGCTTGGTCTTCTTTCCCAAGTAAGAAAAACTGTCGGTCTAAGCATCTACTCGAAATTGTTCATTTAGATGTTAAGGGATAGTGATGTGTTAGTTCTATCCTTGGTTTTCGATATTCCACGACCTATGTTGATGACTTCTCAAGATAGACTTGAATAGTTCAGATGAAAGTTCCTTCAGAATTGTTTGAAAATTTTCAATTTTTTTGTTCTAAAATCCATACTCAATTTGAACATATTCACATCTTGTAAAGTGAAAATACAAAAGAATAATTTTTTGCCTCATCCCCTATGGTTCTCTAGCAAACTTTTGATCACAAAGAGGAGTAAAGCATAAAACATTCACAAATACAAACTTTATGGAAATCAAACTTGTAAACAACCAATCATGAAAATCAATTTCAAATATCAGTGACAATGCTGACAAGCAAACCATTGCTTAAAATGGAGATACTAAAACTATACCAAGTACCTGTAAATTGCCAAGTGGAAAGACTTCTGAGCATATGGGTCTGATGAAATTGATGTGACAAATTGGCACTTAATGACCTAACTGCAACCAAAACAATCTTCATTTTTTCCTGCTTCAAAAAAGCTAAGTTGTTAATTACAAGCTATACACTAGAAACCGCTTGAAGAAAATATCCAAACAAAAATGTACATTTTGAAGTATGAAATTAAAAAGAAATTAAAATACTAGTTTTAACAATATTAAAAAGAAATTAAAATACCTTTAGCTGAAAAATGAAACATACACCCAAGGATTTATATAGAGAAAATCAATCACCGATAGGAAAACCAGTTGCCTGCAATCTGCATCAAAAAATAAGACAAACAAAGATTAATACAAAAGTACACCGCAAAGCCACACACAAGAATCAACCGGTAACTGTTAGTTACTTAGAACCTGTTTGAGTACAAACTTAGAAGAGTTTTTTAAAGCTTATCTACCAAAAATAGAGTTTTTTCCAATCATAAAGCTCTCAAAAGCACTTCAAAGTTGTATCCAAATAAGCTCTAAGGTTGGTACAGTAGCTAGTTGCTAAACAGTAAACCACTTGTAACAGAATTGTATCAGTCTCCAAGAGAACCAAGTTCAACTACCAAACAACCCAATTTCACTTGTGAAACAAAATCAAAGGAGTAACAAGTATATGTTATTCATGAATCCTCTAGACCATAAAATACAAATTTCAATCACATCCATCCACGAGTTATTATTTTTATTTTTTATTTTTTTGCTTACAGAAAGTTAAAGTGAGTTGGGTCCAGGGCTCACCACGGCCAAGGCAGGCTTCAAGCTTTATGAGCACTTATAGAGGTACTTATAAATTATCCACTAACAAATTGAACCCAATTTTTGGGATATGATCCCATCACTTACCAACTTAACCAACCTTTATTGGCTCCATCCATGAGTTATTCATGTGAAACAATTGTGCTTTTATTTTGAAAACTCACATTGTAATAGTACCCCACTTTCAAGTGGTGACATCCAAATTTCATCAGGATTTAAGCATTTGGAACACAGTGACCAAAAAGCAAAAGCATTCAAACAAATAAAAAGACGAGAAAGAATGAATGAGGAATTATAATACGGTTAGGTTTAGGCATGAGCTATGAGCGCACGGAACCTAAGAGGGATTACAGAGTTGAGGAAGCGCTTACCTTTTCTCTTCGAGATTGTTTGGATGGTGGCGCTGTGAGCCGCAACGACGACACCTTTGGCTGTGACGGAGGCACAGTGATGTGATTTCAGTCTCGCTCTTCTTTCCTTTTACTTCAACACCCAACGGCGTCGTTTAGCTTAGTATTCTTTTTAATATTTTTATTTTTAATAATCTTTTGTGTGAATTTTGATGACTCAACTCAACTTATCAGTTGGTGGTCTCAAAACCATCCAATCAAACCTTACGTAATTTGGGCCCCATTGAAAGAGATCATGAACATTTATTTAAACTTATTTTATTTTATAAGTATGAAAATTGTGAAAATTAGATTAAATTGATCAGTTTAATCGAAATTGGTTGTCAATTGATTCAATTTGGTAAGAAAATCGTTCTACATTAAACCTGTAAAAAATTAGTAGAAGTGGTCTACAATTAATCAAAATTGATAAATAAATAAAAAATCAAATCGTAATCATGCAATTAAAAATAATAACTTTTTTATTTTTAAACTTAAATTAACATATTTTTAATAAAAAATCATATTCAATATAAAATTATAAATTAGAATAACTTATTTATAATGCTTGTCTCGTAAATATAATTTAATAATTTATATTAATTTATAATTTTTAATATCTTTATTT